TATATGTCTACTGCAAGAGAAATCCATTATTTAATTATATCAAGTATGATAATGAAGTTTTATTTTAAGGAAGGAAATTTCTGCAAAATTCATAATAAATGCTGGGCATCAGACCGTCTCAGTAAAAGACTATGAGACTAAGACAGGGAGCTAAACATGCTTTCCCCATTTAGCACCATGCAATGTGCCAGATCTGGAACCAGAGACAGAAAAGAAACTGAAAAAAATAGGAGTCATAGAACTCCAACTGCAGATATGCACAAATAACATCAGTGCAAACTTCAAAACAGGACAGTATTTAGTTTTTAGAACACCATTCAAGTAATCCCTTCCAGAAATTGGGTAAACACATACAGCACTGAATATACTAAAATCAACCTTCGCTCTTTATTAGTAACTTAATTAAGTCAAACAACTGCTGAACGCCTCCTATGTAGAAAGGGGTAGAGGGTGAATCAAACACCTTTGCACTCTCCTGAGAGTTCCAAGAAGAAGGCACTAGGTCTGGGTGATCAGAGATCTGGATCACAGATGCTTAAATCCTCACGGGTGTGCCATTAACAGCCATGAACATCCGGGCAGGGAGAAGCTGCTCAAACGCAGGGGCATGTGCCCACAATGCCCCGCCATCTCCTCCCATTGGCCAGGACTCCCGCCAGCTCCAATTACGCAGGCGCAGTGGTTAGGGTGTGGGTGACTTAGGCTGCGCCCCTCCTAGGTGACGCTGAGGCAGTGCGTGGTTTTGATTCAACCTGCGGTTCTGGGATTTCTTTGGGTCAGGGTGCCAGCTCTGTGGTACTGCCCTGGGGGAAGAAGGTGAGGGATGTGCACAGCAGAGAAGGAGCTGAGGAAAAAAAGAACAGGATCCGAATCCAGAATGTCAGCCCCCAAGTGGGTGATCAAGAAGGACTGCAGATAGAAGCTGCTATGGCAGAAGCAAAGGGAGCAGCAAGTAGGAGGATGGGCAGGGCCTCGTGATTGACTGAAGATAGCCCAATGCGAGGATAGAGGCGGGTCATAGAGGGCGGAGCCTTCAGAATATGGCCTGGTATTTAGGATCCTGATAACAACTCCTGTGCAGCTGGCCTTAAATTGGGGAACCTGTGTCCCGTTTGGCAAATTTCCTCCCTGGAGCATGCAGGCCACAGCCCCCAGGTGGAATTCCTGGAGAAACGGGCAGGTGATCCTTCTTGTGTGCACATTGTTCCCTGTAGAGATCTGAGAAGAGGACAGGTGTTGTCCTCAGCAGGGCTGAGTGAATCTTTTACTGTGAGATTTAATCTCCCACCTTCTTAACTGTGGCTGTCCTGTGCTGCTTCTGGAATACTAAGCTTCATCGTTACCCTCACTGGAAGGGGAAATGATGTTTACTTTTTGTTCTCTTTTGTTTTATGCTGTCCCTCTAAAGTTGGATACCTCACACTTTTCTTTTGCGTTCCTTACTGTGCAGAGAAGAAGGGTCCTGAATTGTGGTGCTCAAGGACCTGAGAGTAGCAGAGACCTTCACCTCCTAGGCTCACCCACCTGCTCTGATCAAGTCCTTTAGCTAAGTCCCACCTCCTTCACCTGAGAAGAAGCTGATGGAACTAGAACTGACCCAAGATTGTTGCCACTAAGTATTGACTCTTGAACTGGATATTCAAGTCAGGACACTAGTTAAGCCACAGCTGTGAAGAGCACAATCCTCTAAAGAACACAAACTAGCAAGACACACAACCGTATCCAGCGGGATATTCATCCGAATTTTATTAAATGCCGTGGAGGTGTTAAAGTCCTTGTCTTGAGACGTAAAAGAAGGGGAAAGGAAAAGAAGGGTCCTACTTTTTCTTTTTTTTTCTTTTTCTTTTTTTCCTATAATTTTATTGAGAAACAAATAGCAATGACACAATTTCAAATCAAATTGTTAGTACAGTTTCAATAATTAACACATTGTATACTCTGTTTCTAGTGGTTATTTGCTATACAAGATGCAGAAATGATATCCTATTTACAAACACTATTAGAACAAATCCCTCTATTCTCTTTAAGAGAATACAACTATATGTCTATCCTAACAATTTTGAATACACAGATACAAAGTGGATATACACCTGTATCCCCTTTTTTGTTTAGTTCCGTCATTTGAATATTATAGTTGTGTAAACTCAGAAAAATATTGCAAAAGAGTCCAGTAATCCATAATAGTATTGGGCCTTTCGCTTGACTGGCAATGTCAGAAATTGTTGACCTGAGTCCCCTACAGCTCAACATAACACCATGACTTTACTTCTTATACTTCATTTTTATACTTTTCTGCTGGATGGTTAAGACCAAGATAAATCAAGATCTATGCAACAAGAGTTGTAGCTTTAGGATCTTATAAAGTCAGTCAAATCCCCTCAAGATTTATCCTGAGATCCTGTACCTTAGATTGTAGAACCTTTGTCAGTATCAGCCATGTGGATGAATCAAGGGCATTGCTTGACCAATGTGCTCTCTGTGAAAGCCTGAGAGAATGTTTACTTTCCTTCTGACTCTCTTTAAGCACGCTCTGCATCATCGATCTCTTTCCTATTTGGCCCCATAATCTCCTTGATCAGAAAATTTTGGAAACTACGAGTTACATGACGTTACAGTACAATTCTCATATATCCTGAGTCTTAATTGAACTTGTAAAACTAGGACCAAAATGTTGGCTTTCCTTGCAGTCCTCTTTTTTCTCTAATTTTGATCTGCAAACTTAGGTTGTTAATGCTGTAGAACAAAGCCTTATTGTTATTACCATATAACCTAGGCTATTAAGCTTAAACTCATTATCTGTCTGAATATCAAACATCTTAGGCATAACATGGAACAAGTATTTTTCATCAAGTATTGATATGTTGAAATTTAAGTCCCTACAGAATATGATGAAAAGATGTTTAAAAATTAACATATATTTAGAAAATAGGCATAAAGAATTATATAATTCTTATATTTACACATAAGTCCAGAAATCTAACTGTATACAACCTTGTAGCAGGACAGTACCACAACTCCTTTTCCTGTCTCCTTCCTTCATTAACCACCACCTTCTTTTTGAACAATCATCTACCCCAGAGACAGCACAGCATCAACCAGCATGTCATGAGAAGCAGCCTGTATTCAGAACACCAAAATGACAGGCACACCAAGCATGAACATATTATTACAAATTGCCATCTTCAGTGCAGTTGCGTAGTTCACGGTTGTCAGTATATATAGTTAATCAGGGTGAGAATCCTTACAATAAACTGCTAGATTCAAAATTCTTCAGAAGATTCTCAGGATCATTGTCATACCTGTCTTCTAATGTATTTGTATGGCGTGCCACTGTCATATTTCCTAGCTCTTCTCCTTTCCCTCTCTTAATTATTTAGTCCTCGAGGTCTTGCTTTGCTTTTAGCTGCATCGTACCTTTCTATTTGTATTTCTTCTTTTGAGTTCTTACATTCAGGAAACTATGTGATATATACACATATGTGTCTGATTTATTTCACTTATCAGTATATATTCAAGTGGCATCCACTTAAATATAAAGGTTTTGATTTTATTATTCTTTACAACCGAGTAATACTCCATAGTATAAAAATACCACATCTTTTTCATCCACTCCTCAGGTGAAGGGCATCTTTGTTGTTTCCAAGATTTGGCTATCACAAATTGTGCTGCTATAAACATCAGAACACATATATCACAATGATATGATGTTTTCAGATTCTCTGTGAAAAT